GTGATCGATTCTGGGCCATGTCACCAAGATTCTCCAACCATTGGTTACGATAGTCACGCGGACCCCAACCAGGAAGTCTGCATCTACCAACATGGCTCAGACCAGAAGTTAGTGACTTCAAGCACTGATGCCACGTTTTGGTTTGGCCGCCCCTAACTTTCTTCCAGTCATCCCTAACACCGGTTACCATTGCGCGTCGTGGTAATCTGTGTTCAGGCATACGCAGCACGTGGCCCAACCATCTCAGTCGATGAAGATTCATAACCTCATCAACTGATTTACCATCATCTTCTAATACCCTACGTCTAACCTGACTATTACTTACCCGGTGATCCCAGCAGATACCCGCAATATTTCTAAGGCATCTGTGGTCAAATACTAGTAACTTACGAATATCTTCTACTCTTAAAGGCCAAGTTTCGCAGCCGTATAGTAGAACGGAACGAACTGCCGCGCAGTATACACGTCCCTTAATTGATATACGGATATCTCGCCTGCTCCATAAATGACGTAAGTTGGCAAAGGCCAAGCGAGCTTTTCGAATCCGTGCTGAGATTTCGTCAGACACCAACCCATTAGGGCTGATCAGACTTCCAAGATAAGTGAAGTTGTCGACGCGTTCGACTACTTCACCCCCTATCCTTAGTTCAGGTGTTGACGCAGACCAGTCCTGAAGCAACAACTTGCATTTGGAGGGAGAGAAGCGCATCCCAAACATTCTGGCATTGTTGCTCAGTGTTACCAAAAGACTCTGCATTTCATCAGCGTCTTCACCAAACAGGACTATGTCATCTGCGTATTCCAAGTCAATAAGTGGACCTCCTGGTAGGAGATCAATACCTTAGAATTCAGTCGATGAGAGCGTTATTTCCATCAGTAGATCTACGATGAAGTTGAACAAAAATGGAGAAAGTGGACAGCCTTGGCGGACGCCACTTGAGGTTGCGAAAGCAGATGACAGTTCGCCATAAGCTCTGAGTCGAATAGTAGTGTTCGAGTAAAGAGCCTTCACAAGGTTTATGTACTTTTGAGGTACGCCTTTCAATGACAGATACTGCCACAGAACCTCTCGGTCAACAGAGTCAAACGCTGCTTTTAAATCAAGGAAGACCACTATTGTCGGACGCCGATAAGTATGCCTGTGTTCTAGAACCTGACGAATGGTGAATATGTGGTCGATGCAGCCACGATAAGAAATTGAGTTTCCCATAAATACAGAATGTGAGGGCTAGGTCAATAGATTAATTCTAATCTATGGTTGAATATATATAGTAATACAGTTTAGAATTAGTCGTAGTAGTTCGTATACCTTCACCCTTTGATTTCTTTCAGAATCTTGGGTTTAGTGTAATTGAGTAACTCTCATTCGTTGATTACATCCGCTGCATTTGAATTTCATATTTCCTCTCTGATTGGTGTTGGTTTTTCTAATATGTTTTGCATATTGTTATTTACTTTTCTCGTCGTGGTATCAAACATTGGTCACTTAAATCGATATATATTAATGATAACTCCTGCATCGTGGACGATTGTTTGCAATGAATATCAAAGCGGAAAGCCTGTCCAATAATTTCGCTCAAAGTTTGAGATATTAAATTAATACTCTGATCTAAGCGAAAACTAGATGTGGCTCAATTAAGTAACTGTGGATTGCGGCCGCTTCAGTTAATATGGATAGAAACTCACCCTTGCAACTTTTATTGGGATTAGCTTAGGATATTTCCTAAAATTTGATTCATGAGAAATAAAATTAAAAAGAATCTTGAAATTCTCCATACTGTAAAATGATTGAATTTTGTGTTTTGAATCAATGAACTATACAGCCAATTCTAGGTCGATCCGATTCACCAGTTAAAAAGTAAGGCATTCGATTACCTCGCGCTCTATCGTTAGTTCAGGCGTTGACACAAGCCAATCCTGAAGCAACAATTTGCATTTAGAGGGGAATAAACGCATCGCAAACATCCTATCATTGCCTTTCAGTACTACCAAAAGATTCTACATTTTATCAGCATCTTCACCAAACAGGACTATGTCGTCTGCATATTCCAAGTCAATAAGTGGACCTCCTAGTAGATCAATTACCCAAAATTCAGAAAATGAGAACGTTATTTCCATCAATAGGTCTATGATGAAATTAAACAAAAATGGAGATAGTGGACAGCCTTGTCGTACACCAATTGAGGTTGCAAAACCAGATGACAGCTCACCGTAAGCTCTCACTCGACTAGTAGTACTCAAGTAAAGAGCCCTCACAGGGTTTATGTACTTCTGAGGTACGCGTCTCAATGACAGACACTACCACAGAACCTCTTGGTCTACAGAGTCAAATGCTGCTTCTATGTCAAGAAAGACATCCATTGTCGGACGCCGATAAGCATGCCTGTGTTTTAAGATCTAACGAATGATGAATATGTGGCCGATACAGTCACGACCAGGTCTGAAGCCAGTCTGGTTTACTCGTATTTGCAGTTCACGAGTCTTAATTAGGCTCACGATAATTATTGAGGCTAGTAATTTAGATGCTATATTAGTCAAACTAATCCCTCTATGGTTATCTTAGAATGATTTCAATCATTTCTTATATACTGGGACAATCAGTCATTGAGACCAGTCACATGGGACGACATTCAGTTAACAGATTTCAGCTAAAATAATAGTCAACATAATTGCTAAAACTGGACCACCATCCTTAAAGACCTCTGAAGTCAATTTATCTGGACCAGCTGCTCTTTCTCGTTTCAGATTAACTATGGCTTTCTGAACTTCAATTAGAGTCGGGGAAGGGGCCTATTTAGATATTGCATTCAGGCCGTTTGGGAATGTTGGGTAGTTGTAGAGTAGCTGAAGGTCAGCTGAACTGCTCCTTCAAGTGTTCAGCTCATCGTTCTAAACGTCTAGATTGAGAGCAAATAAAATGCCGTCTTTTTACGAGATTGTCTCACACTTCTTGATTACAGATTCTTTTATCAGTCTGTAAAGCTGTCTTGTGTTACCTACAGCCGCCACCTTTTCCACCTCTTTCGCTTTCGTTGCTCACCATTGTTCCATAGACGTTCAGTTAGCCTATATCTGATTTGTTTTCGCTGTTCATCAAGTTCGGAGCCTGATGGGCTAAGTTTACGAAAGTCTATCAGTGCAATAGATGTTGCAGAAATCCATTGATTTTTCGTAACCCTTTAGTTCAAATCGCTAATAAATGTCGCTGCTCTTTTCACAGATGTTGGTATATATTCCCAAGCAACACCTGGATCAGTCTCGCTTTCTAAGTTGCTTAAGTGTGACTTCAGTTGTTCCTGGAATTTACCTTTGGCTTTCTCATCGATAAGTTCAACTCTAATGGGTCTTCTTAATGTGGCTTCTCTGAGTCCAGTGAGGAGCAAGCAAATTCCTGCTCGTATTGGAGGACGATCCGAGTCTAAACATGTATTCCAGAATGAGCGGCAGTCTCCTATCGAGCCTCTCAAATGATGACTGACGGTAATGTGGCTTATTTAAGCCCATCGTTGGTTTGGTGCAGGAAATCACCAAGTTAGACGATGTTTCTCTTTATGCTTAAAATTAGTGCTTGCTAGAAATAAACGGTTGTCTGAGCAGTTGTAACGGACGGTCACCATTACGTGTTCGCTGAGCCAGAATACAATACCAGCACATAGGCGACTGTTAACAGGAATCCATCCTAAAAGTGCTTGTTCTACTCTCATACTTAGTGCTGTGCCTACACCCACCAGTCCGCGAGAAGTAGCCATCGGGCCTCCAGATAAACGGAGAATGTATCTCGTCGGTTCCTCTTCTAGGTTAGATGACGTCAGGTGAACGGCCACACCAGTATCCAGTATATGTTTCGGAGACACAGCATACATCAACGGTACGAGACTCTATGATATTATTTATTTATTTATTTGAACACATAAATATTGGTACAGGGGGGCACCAAATGTATATGCGCCACTCTATGGTAATAGCCAAGGAGGCCTGTTGGTTGATTTGACATAGGGTGCGTACGTTGAAGACTGCAATGTGTAGTTTGGAGCGAGGTTTCAGTGAACCTGCGACAGTGTTTCGAGCACTAGAATTGTTGGCCATGGTGACACTTGAGGAGGAATTCGAAGAAGTTTGGAGTTGGTAGTCAAGGTAAGAGGAATATTAGGAATCGAAGAGGGAAATTGATTATGAATACAATCGTCTTATGTGCTGTTAGAGGTATGAGGGCAGTTATAACTTCCCGATTGTCCACACCGTGGAGAGGTCCTTCTAGAGGTACATGAAAAGGAAATTGGGTTAGAGTTGGTCTTAGTGGCCTGAGAGCGCGACCAAAGTGCTGTAGCCCAAAAACCACTTCAAAAGTTATAAAAATAAGAACATGTAACAGCTTTTGGGACTCTACTTTAGTGAGACCTAAGGACCTAACCGGACTTGTTAAGATGAGAGTTGCACATTAACAACAAGATATAATTTAGGGTAAAAAGTCCAATTAATTTAATAGCAAATACTAAACCGTTTCTGACTAACAGACTTATCATTGATGATGTACTTATGAGGATAACTGAATGAACCATACACCTAGTCAATTATTTTGGTTTTTAGAATACAAATGCAAGTAGGTACAACTATAAAATAATCAAGGTTACATACTTCTGGGACAGAAACCGGAGATGAAACACCGTCGGAAGGAAGCCTCATGAATAACCGTATTTGTATAAGTTACACCAAAAAATGTAGTGACATATCGACACCCTATGATGCATATATGCCTAAAAACGCATCTTTTTCGTACCATATTCTTCATCTTTAATTTTAGTCGTTGACACTAATGCTACATGACTTCGGCTTATTTGATATTTTCGTTAATTGCAGCTCGCCGTCCTGAAGTGGCACGGTCACTTGGGTTAACACACATTTATGCTAGGCTGTACGTTGATTATGACAAACTAAATAAAACACCTATAAATAGAGAAAATGTAGTTTCTAACATGAGCTGAAAAAACATAACCTCCTTGTATATATTAAATAATCTATATTATATACAATTTACAATGAAATTAAAATAACACGTTCACTGTACAGTTGTCTTCGCAGTTGCCTGAGCTTTTATTTTATGCATACGATGATATTTTTCAATATACAGCTTTACAAATGTGCTTATTTTTTCTGTATTGATTGAAGAAGTACCACTTCGTGAAATCTACAATGAACTAGTATAATTTTACTAATACCTCTTACCTTAGTAACAGCCTTTTTCATAATTTCTTTGTAATCTTCTTTATTTATACGTCGTAGAGAGTATGCAGGTTTTAAAACTGATTTCACTTCCAATGCGATACGTTCTTGCCACTCACGACGTGAAGAGAAGTCGTATCTTTTCCGCTTTGCTAGTACTTCCTCAATCCTCATATCTCCAAAAGGTTTCTTATTTTCCTTTTTATTTTCTCCACATGCACCATTAGGCAGCACCTTGTCACCGACTTCATTGTTAGAAAACTGATTAATTACCGCTGGGAGTGGAGGAGGTACGAATGAATGTAGTAGAGTAGAAGTGGTTGACGGCAGCTCATTATGTTGTTGGAACGGTAACGGTGGTGGAGGAGGAGGTGGCAATGGGTCGGAAGAGGAAGTGTCTACATCAGTTCTTTGGCTACCTGCAAGTTGGTTTAAAAGAGAACTTGCAGCTGAGCTTAACAGTTTGTTGATTTGCTTCATGGGAGAGCTCTCACGAACAGAATCAGGTTTGTCATTTGGTTTAGTATTTAGATTCAAATCGCTTAGTGTATTACAAGGTAGACCTGCCCTGCTCATTAAGGTTTCTAAGAGATTGGAAGCTGGGGCCTGCATCTGCTGCGCAAATGTAGGTGGTGGCGGTGGTGGTGGAGGAGGAGGTGGAGGCAGAGCATTAGTTTGGAAACCAGGACCCGACATTACCATAGGCAAGCTCGGCACTGATTGCATGCATTGACCAGGGAAAACTGAATTAGTCCCAGGAAGCATGGTTGTACTCAATCTGGGGACGATCATAGGAGGTGGCTGCATAAAATTCGGAGGCATTGGTGCACTGGGATATGGTATTACGCCTGATGGGAATGTTGAAGTGGAAATCCCCATAAGTCCATAGTTATTTTGAGGAAATCGCATAGGACTATAATTCATTTGTGGGATCCTGTGCAGAAAAGCAGAGTTGTTACAAGCAGCATTTTGCCACCTGCTCAAAGGTTGAACAGTGGATCGCGGTTGACTTTGAGGGAATATATCGACAGTAACGTTAGGGACATGCTTTGCATCATTCAACCCTGTTGGGGAGTTAGTTGGTTCATTTGTTATGCCTGCCTCAGGTGCAGACTGTTCTTCCACATGTTGTGAAACGTCCCAACGTACCGAGTCCGAGTCTTTGTGTCCACCACCAACGAAAGAGTCCCGTTCCTTCGCTTTATACGAAAAATCTGGTTCATCAGAAAACCGGGAAACACGTTTTTCATTAACCGACCTTCTTGATTTAGCTGGAGATCGCGAACGAGAACGTGGACCCGGGAGGCGTTCAACTACTCGAGAATGTCTTGGAGGTGTTCTAGATCGGCTCCGTCTGCGTTCTTTGGAACGAGATCTCGAACGGTGCTTGCGAACACGGTGCCTTGAATGAGACCGGGACCTCCTACTTTTCTTATCCTCGAACTTATTACCTCTTTTGGGAGAACGTGATCTACTCCTACGGTGATGCGGTTGGACAGACCGTTTGTGGACACTGGACGGTCTTGTGTGAGCTTGATAGTCGTGCTTCGTCTCTTCGGGAACGTTTTCTTCAGCTGACTTAACTGAAAAAGGCGGAACGCACCCTCTTTCTTCTGATGAATTAGGTTCGTTGCTTACCTCGGAGTGTGGTCCCTCCACATTATGGTTTGGTTGAAGAACATTAGTATCCTGCGCACAGTCAAATGTATTAGAGTTAAAAAGCAATGGCACAACATCACTAAGAGACTGGTCAGGAGGTAATTGGTTCTGATTAGCATCTTGTTCCGGAGTTGCAGGAGAATTAGACTCTAAATCCATATCCTGATCAGTCGGATGTGATGGACTATAAGGATCCATTTTAAATAAATATCCAATACAAATCAATTTTTCCTGATCAAGATGATTGTTGTAAGGTTAATCCCATTAAAATCCAGTACCATATCTAACAAATTTAGGAGGATTAAAAAGTTAGCATCTCCCCAGGTGAAGAATTAAAACAAAAAACTCCTCAAGGCTGATACGAATTCACTAGTGAATGTGATATTAATGTGTCAGGGGTATTAAAGCAAAGCAAAACCTATCTTAACAAACACACGGAACAAAAATTTTTTACTTTGTTGATAATGTCAATTTTGTCAGAATGGAGTAACCTTAAAACTACATTCCAAGAACTGACAAAGTCCTTCCTTTCATGGTCAGCTAAGTATAAGCTACCCCAACGTACCCACTGATTGACAAAGATTCTAGAGATAATGCAATGTAAAAGACATATTTGGGACTTGCTGTTTACAGGTCTTGAAGCATTCACGTCATAGAACTCAATGTCAAGAACTTATGCAAACGACTATGACTGGGTTGAAAATTGATTATGATGGGCAGTTGCGATTTGATTTACGTATTTATCCTGGATGGCTTTCTTCTGATAATAAGGAAGGATTAAATAGAACAACATCTCTACGGTTAGCCGAAGGTTCGAATTCTGGCTGAACAAGATGTGCTTCAAGGCAAAAGTTTACCAACCTAATTTAGCAAGATTTATTGACAGAATACTAGGTCCAACACGGATAGTTATAACACCGAGAGAGCGGCCTCCGTGCTGATATTTACTGTGTTGCTAAATGACTAGCTGGTTACTTACTGTAACACTATTATGCATTTTTATTGCTTCACATCTTCTTACATGACGTTGACAGGGCATAAGGCCAGTAGTGACTTCTATGGAGTCATTGAGCTAGTATTTTTGCATCGTTACAACAGCCAAACTTAAACAGCAGGAGGCATGTTTGTCTGCCTGACTTTTTTCTAAGGCAGATGACCTTGCAGCTAACGTTCGGCATACCGCATTCTCTAAGGCAAATATCCCTTAACTTAGATGTGTGTGTGCAGTCGGGGAGATTCTATGCAACTGCATTGAAGGAAGATATCACTCTTTTCGTCACTTCTTCAGCCACAAACTTCGACATGCACTCAGCTTTAGTGAGTTGTTCAAGTTTTCTATCAGTGTCAAGACCCCATATATGTGTGAAGGGGTTCTAATTTGTTGAGTCTACCTTTAATTTCGGCTACAGAGTTTTGTAGCTGACGGATGTCAGTACTATATCCATCGGTATTTTGGTGTATATGAGATGAACTATTAGACTTTTTTGTCTTTAAAATTTTGGATTTAGACGTTGTTTAATCATGCTGTCTGGTAGACTGTGCTGACATTTCGATGCACTTGGGCATTGTGTCTTGAATGTAAACTATTCTTACAGTTGGGATAGTCCACGGAGAGATGGAAGGGTTGTAATATGGAGAATCAGGTAATAGTGTGAGTAAGACGCATATGGTTCAGTAGACAAAGGTTCGATAATGTCAGGCACTGACTCGTCAGCTACACACAATCAAGAGGAAGAATTATAGCTAATATTCAAAATAGTGGAAAATTATTAATACAAGATTGTAGCGACATAGCTTTGCGACCAGATATTGTCGTTGCCGTAGTCCCCATTTTCTCCTGCGTTAGCGTCGTGGATTTTTGAGAATCGTGTTTCGTTGGTGTGACCGTCTTCGAGGGGCGTGTATTGTCGATTAAAAATCATTGTTGATGAAAGCTGGTCTCACTCGATCTATGCTTACCACGTATGTCTTTCCAGGTTTTTCTACGGTAAATGTTTTATATTTCCTCGTAATCACTTTAAACGTACCGTCGTAACTCGGCTGCAAAGGTGTTTGTTTAGATTTGTGGTGTACTATGATATTAGTACTGCTCTAATAATAGACCTAATCCTAAAATTGTAGATTTGTCATGATATAACTACCTAATCTGTAAGATCTTACATGGAATTCACGTCATCGCCTACATCAACTAACTACATCGTAACAATTATCAATACATGATGGAGAACAAGCTTAGGCTAGAAATGGAACAATATTTATTTAATATGAATAAAAGATATAAGATAACACTCAGCAGGGACCACGCCGACGAGGCCGAGCCATGCCACCCGATCAACTCCGATTAAGTCAATTTTTGTTGTTCCCGCCTTATCCATTGTTAGGTATTTCTCAGCGTTAAATGTTGAGTGTCCATTTTTCGTATTGTCTCGTGTTAGGGCCCAATGCCACTGCAGCTGTACATTATCTGTTCTAATGAATACTTGAGAGCTGTTATATAGTTCCTGAAGTATGAACGCTCGTCATTTTTGTATTCTTTAAAAAGTTATCTTTAGATCGTTCAAACGCTTCTTCAGGCGTTGCACGTGGTTGGTTATATCAGTCAAGACACTTTTACCTGAAGTGAAATCTTCGGATAAACATAGAGAAATTTCATACATCAACTCTGCTGGACAACATCCCATATTCTGTCTAATTGTAGTTCTTAGACCCAACATGAATAGAGGAAGCTTATTAGCCCAATCGCTGCTAACGATGACAGATATTAGAGACGCTTTTAACTGCCAAAACAGGTGTTCAGCCATTCCGTTTGCCATTGGGTGGTGGGATATCGTTCGAATACGTTTAGTTCCGAAGAGTCGACTTCCAAATAAGGTTTCTCTACAGGTTGTGATAATTGCTGGTGTGTGACGACAATTTCTCGGGCTATTATCTAATTACAGACGTTTTATTCCGAATATTGCAGCAATAATCCAACTGTTAACTAGTGTGTTACGGGGACTTGCCCGGTCATTCCATTTATCAGCAGAGGCGATACAAGCATTCGAGAACGCTGAGAAGGAGCTAAACAGTGAAACGGCACTAGCTGGACAAAAGAGCGAAACACCATTAGCTATCATGACCGATGCATCAAATGTGGCGGTAGAAGTCGTTCTAAAACAAGTAGTTAACGACATATGGGAACCGCTTTCATTTTTTTAAAAGAGATTGAATCCCACACATAAGAAATATAGTACTTTCGGAAGAGAATGACCGAAGATTTACTTGGCAAACATTTTCGACATATGGTAGAAGGCAAAAGTTTTACTGTGTACACAGACCATAAACCGCTCATGAAAGCACTAAGCTCAAGACAAGATCATTATTCTCCGAGAGAAATCCGGCAGTCATAATTTATTTCCCAGTTCACGTCCAATATACGATACGTTAAGGGTCGAGAAAACGAAGTAGCTGACACACTATTAAGAACAACAATAAACGCGCTTATCCCAAGTGGAATCGATTATCACGGTCTGGCAAAGTTTCTGGAGACTGACTTTGGATTAAACAAGCTAAGATCCGACGATACGACATTGCTAGTATTCGAAGATATTCAGATCAGTAGCTCAAAAGCGATATGTGATATGTCGACAGGTCGACATTGTGAAAGTATGCACAGCATATCGCATATGCATATAAATAAATAATTTCATCTAGAACATATCTCTCACGGACCCAATCATATTTGACGATTTACTGTTAGCTGTTTGTCCGAAATTTACATGATCAGTACTTCCTTGCAAAAGAAATTTTGGTAACCATTCAAACGCATTAGTAGTTTTATTACACCTTATCACGGTTGAATAATAATTAAGTTGAGGTGAACCAAATAAATCGTATTAAACTTAACAAACGAGCTGGAACATTAGTTATACTTCTGTTCTCTTAGTTGGCCTACTAATGCAGATGCAATTTGTAGTCGACACATACGGACGGCATACCGGCGTAAACACTAACTAAAAGTGGTGTCTTGCATTATTTGTCGTGAGATATGGCAATAATATTTGACTAGATACTGCTAACTAGCAGTGTTGTCGAAGTTGACGAGGTCACCCATAAAATTCCGCTACCTACAAAGAACCATACTGTGAGTATTTGTTCAATAATGTGTAGCGGTAAATAGATCCTCAAAATCAATACCTCTGCAAGTCTTCAACGTTTGATGCCGGCCGCATTGGCTGTAATGAACTCACCTAGCTGAAGGTGCTCGGTCACTCATCCACACCAAATCACGAGTGGGTAGGCCGTGCTTCACATCTCCTACGACCTTTAGCCAGCTTAGATTAGTCACTCCTCGATATATCAATATTCTATCAAATATATCCTCAGACCCTTTCGCTCCTGACCTCTGATTTGACCGGGTTGGCACATATTGGTTACAGATGTTACTGGTTAAGGTGTTGTTAAACTCCGAATGCAGGTAGCATCTTTAAATGCAGTTGTGTTCCTACCTGAAATCAATGATAACTTCGGTTAACACAGGTGATGCAGTTCATCCTAAATCTGCCACGAAACTTCAAAATAAAATATTTCATCACAAAAACCATATCTCAGCTATTATTCATAAAGAAATCGTCACTCCGATAATGATAACATATCACCATTTGGTTGTAATTTGTCAAGAAAATGGTATTTACTGTCGTGGTGTCTGTAAAAAAGTAAAGTTGTATTCAGTAACTTAACGTAACTGCTTACTCCATAAGCTTTTGACAGATACCACGATAACACCTAAAACTCACGAAAACATCAAGAGAGAGCTAGTAACACATGCCATGTTTTTATCACATTCATGTGATGCTTTCGTTGTTTTTCATGATATAGACCTAACCTGCATTTTCTGGTTTCAACGTGTGGCTACTATTAAGCCACATGACGCCAGGACCAAGCACAAAGTCAAGCTGGAGCTGACCATTCCACTTGTGGACTGTCTTGATCATGAAAAACGTGTAAAGGACAGGGCCCACTAACTCGATAAACCTTATATAGGTAGGCTACCTTTCCATTCACGTAAGGCTCATACAGACAAGCAGGAAGAAGGTCACAGGCTTCAAATTGAAAGCATAAACTGCTTGTACATGAACGCCGTGAGTCTACCATATAAAATGAACCGGCTTCATGAACTTGGCAATGCTAATAATGCATATCTGATAGAAATATCTGAAACTTGGATATCTTCTCAGTTTACGGACCAGGATCTAGCAATACCTGGAATATCTTTGTTTCGCAACGACAGAAAAACAGGAATTGGGGCTGGAGTAGCCGTATACATATTTTCCTGCCTGGAGGTACACTAATTTCACAACCAGG